TATCCCTCTCCCCTCTCCCTCTCCCTCCTTCTCTCTCCCTCTCTCTCTCCCTCTTCCCTTCTCTCCCTTCCTCCCCCTTCTCCATTTTCTTAATCTAACTAATTTCCTCACATTTCCACTTCCATTCCCATTTCCACTTCCCGCATTTGACAGAAAAAAACAAAGTCTAAAATAAAAAGAAAAATTTAAACACACCTCACTCACGGCAACGATAACGACAGCGGCCGCTCACCCGTCGACCAGCAGCTGTGAGCGTATGTGAACGAGGCAAGTCACTCACTCGCACAGACGGAGATCGGATTAATCGCTAATGAACGGCGCTTTCGAGCTATTATTGGTATCGGTAATAAATATGGTATTGGTGGTAGGGTTTCTGGGGTTTGTGGTGCCTTCAGCTGTTGTATTATAATGATTTTGTTCTTTTCTTTTTCTTTGCGATTCTTGGCGAAATATGTCTGGAATGTGAATTGATTTTTTCGATGATTTAAAATGAAAGTGTTCCTTTTTTATGATCAAGCTGTAGACAAGTTTTACATTAAATGATAAAATCATTGAATGATGAATATATATAGCACGATAATTCTGAGTGTGCCTGCATCTGAAATGATAATAACACTTATGTGTGTGTGTGTGTGTGTGTGTGTGTGTGTGTGTGTGTGTGTGTGTGTGTGTGTGTGTGTGTGTGTGTGTGTGTGGTGTGTGTATGTGCATATATAATGTTTGAATATAATTATGTATTGAGACATGACTTGAAACTTTAGTAGTTTCTTTTTATTTCACGACTGGAAACTCCTATCAGCTGAACCGGAAGTGGACAGGTCAGCTGACTTCCCCAGGCCTACCACACACGTTGTTCCATTTATTCGAGGCTTATTAATGAATGACACCGTGAAGGAACTGTAGTTGTGTTAGAAAGTTTTACCTGTGTAGGCCTATATAATGTATTGTGGATTGTCATCAGTAGCGTGTCACTATATATCAATAAATATGTGTGTGAGTGTGTGAGTGTGTGTATGTGTGTGTGTCTCTGTGTGTGTGTTTTATAGTGCTGGGTAACATTCTAAATTGTTCTCTTAATATAACATACAACTACATGTAGGCCTACGAGATGTTTCAAATGACGGTCGACTAGATCAGAGAAAGTTTTAAGATAATTTACTTTGCAATCATATTAGACAGAAAAAGGAACAAATTAGATTTCTTCCTCCGGTAAAGATATATCTTGATAAATCAGACTTCAATTCAAGCTTTGGGTATTTACGAATTTTAAAACAACATCAACAGTAACAAAGAAAATAGCCACAGATAATGGAATCAGTGGAATCCGAAATGTTTTTTTTTTTTTTGCGATTGCCTTAAAATAGAGAAAAGGAGAGAGAAATAGAGAGGGATAGACATAGACAGATTGATAGATAGATGAATAGATAGATATGGCGACAGACAGATAGACAGTATGTGCAGTGGGAGAAAGAGACTGAGAAAAGCATGAGAGAGAGAGAGAGAGAGAGGAGAGAGAGAGAGAGAGAGAGAAGAGAGAGAGAGAGAGAGAGAGAGAGAGAGGAAGGAATAAAACGTATCCCGGAAACCTCTCCCTTGACTGACATGTTGCCACGTATTGCTTTCCGCGCCGTCCTCTTCACCCCCACCCCCCCCCCCCCCACACCCCCCACCTCCGATGCACGCCCGCGCTGATGTCCATTTCTTTGATGTGGGCGGCCGGGTCTCCTCCGTGCGCAGTCCATCAGTAGTTCACGGGCGGCGCTGTTGATATGCTACGGTCTGAGCTATGCGCACGGGTGCACACGCTGCGCTCTTATGTACACCGCACACGTGAATGCGGTTGTACGCGATTATGCGTGGACGAGCGCTTACACATACGCACATATACACGCACATTCACATTCGGAATGTAATTTATACTCATGCTCACGTTTACGTTTACATTTACGTTTTGATTTGCACCCATGCTTGCATTCGTTCATCTCAGATTTACACTCTACACACACATCGCAGCTCATCCCGCACTCACACACTTCATCGCAGATTTACACTCTCCCGCAGTCACACTTCATCTCAGATTTACACACTCACACTCCATCTCAGATTTACACACACACACTTCACCTCAGATTTACACACTCACACTTCACCTCAGATTTACACACACACACTTCATCTCAGAATTACACACTCACACTTCACCTCAGATTTACACTCTCCCGCACTCACACTTCCTCGCAGATTTTCATGAACGCTCACTCACACTCTCACCCACGCCCGCCGGCAGTCGCGCGCAGGCTTCTATCAGGAGGCCAATAATTCAAATAAATAGATAAAAAGAAATCACCGATAAATGCGAGGAAGAAAAAACACCCAAAAAAAGCGAGAATAATCCCCCAGGAGATTAGGATTCGCGTAGGATTTATGATCATGTCTGACTGTTATGTATGGCGGACCTGATCTGCGGGGCTTAATCAGGCTCCGATTAACCCTCAGATTAATGGGATTGTGTGCGGGAATTGTGGCCTGTTTTGATGATAGATATAATTTTTTTATTATTATTATTAGCCGAAAGGGAAAGCGGAATTAGGTAATTTTTTGGAGCGTAAAAATTAGTGGTTCTGTGTAGAGGTATTGTTTGTTTTGATTGATTTTGTTGTTTTCATTTTCTAAATGGAGGTTCTGTATTCATGTTTTATCTCTCTCTCTCTTGCTCTTTCTTTCTATCTCTATGTATATGTATCTGTGTGTGTGTGTGTGTTGTGTGTGTATATATTTATGTGTGTGTGTGTGTGTGAGTGTGTGAATTTGAGTATCTGTGGGTGTGTGTGTGTCTATGTGTGAATTTGAGTATTTGTGTGTGTGTGTGTGTGTGTATGTTGTCTGTCTATGTGTGAATATGAGTATTGTGTGTGTGTGTGTGTGTGTGTGTGTGTGTGTGTGTGTGTGTGTGTTGTGTTTGTGTGTGTGTGTGTGTGTGTGTGTGTCTATGTGTGAATCTGAGTATCTGCGTGCGTGTTTGCTTGTATGTGTTTACCTGCGTGCACGCTTATGTCAGCGTATGTCTCTCTACACATCCCTGATCGCCTGTGTCTCCTTGGCACGGCTATCCATAGGCCTTGACATACAGCGCCCCCACTACATTCCCATGAATAAACACGCCGGCACGGAAAAGTTTTTTATTACTCGATAATTCTCGCGTTACACCTCGCCTGACAGTAATTACCGAACGGCGTGACAGCAGCTCCGTTTGTCACGCTGTTGTAGGTCGTCATGGGTGGTGGTGACAGGCAGACAGGCCTCGCGGGGGACGTGTGTTACCTGGGCGTTGCGAATTTAGATGACGTGGGGTTGGAATGGGTTGAAGGGGGATGCTGGTGTCTTGGGAGGGGAAGGGATAGGGGATTGGGAGAGGGAGAGGGGGGGAGGATATGGGATTGGGGGAGGAATAGGGGATTGGGGGATGAATGTGGGGATTGGGGAAAGGGATATGGGGATTGGGGAGGAATATGGGATTGGCGGGAGAATATGGGGATGGGAGGAATATGGGATTGGGGGAAGAATTGTGGGATTAGGGGGAAGAATATGGGGATTAGGGAGAGGCATAGTGGATTAGGGTGGGAATAGGAGATTGGAGGAGGAATGGAGATTAGGAAGAATATGGGGATTAGGGAAGGAATAGGGGATTGGGGAGGAATATTGGGATTAGGGAAGAAATAGGAGATTGGAGGAGAAATAGCCGATTGGGGAGTAATAGGGCATTTGGGAAGGAAGAGGAGATTGGAGGGGAATAGCGGATTCGGGAAGGAATAGGGGATTGGGGAAGAATATAGGGATTAGAGAAGGAATAGGAAAATGGAGGTGGAATAGGAGATTGAGGAATAGGGGATTAGGGAAGGAATGAAGGGATTGGGAAGAATATGGGATTAGAGAAGGAATAGAGAGATTGAAGGAGGAATAGGAGATTAGGAATAGGGAAAGAAGAATATAGGGATTAGTGAAGGAATAGGAGATTTGGTGGTGGAATAGGAGATATAAGAAGGAATAGGGAATAGGGGAAATATAGGTATTAGAGAAGGAATAGAGAATTAGGAATAGGAGATTAGAGAACGAATAGGAGATTAGGGGAGGAATCGGGGATGAGGGCGGCGGGCGCTGGCGGTCAGAGTCGGCGCTGCGTCTCTTTCCGGCGGCGAGCATTCCGCGCCGCAACTGGAGCGTGGTGGTGTCTCCGTGCGCGCCCGTCTTTGTTTGCTCGCGTTCGGAGTCGTATTCTTGGGGCGCTCATTTGCATACCGGTGCGTGAGTGCGGCGTGGAATGCAAGTCGTGCACGAACTCTCGTATGTATGTAGGTATTTATATGCCTAGTCAAAAAGTTATGTTCTGGGATGTTTACATATCCGGCTACGCGTGTAAGTTCATACAGATGAACGCACGCACCACACACACACACAACACACACACATCACGCGCGCGCGCGCGCGCCCTATACACAGTAAACCCTGTCACATACAAGATACATGTAATTACGTAATATACACATTCTCTCTCTTTCTCTCCCTCCCTCCTCCCTCCCTCATCTCTCTCTCTCTTCTCTCTCTTCTCCTCTCTCTCTCTCTCTCTCTCTCTTCTCTCTCTCTCTCTCTCTCTCTCTCTCTCTCTCTCTCTCTCTCTCTCTCTCTCTCCCTCTCCCTCCCTCCCTCCCTCCCCCCCCCCTCTCTCTCTTTCTGACCTGCTTCTTCCATCATTGACGTAATCCTGTTGTTTTCGAAGGAAGGTCACCTGCGAATCCCACCACAGCTGCACGATCGTTTCAAAACAGAATCGAAGTTCCCTTTTGGCCTCTCGGTTATGGCGTCCCCAGCACCATGACGGGGGTTGGTGTCGGTGAGAGACGCGTAAGGTGGTGTTGCAAATGGGGTTGGTGTGTGTGTGTGTGTGTGTGTGTGTGTGTGGTGTGTGTTGTGTGTGTGTGTGTGTGTGTGTGTGTGTTGTGTGTGTGTGTGTGTGTGTGTGGTGTGTGTGTGTTGTGTGTGTGGTGGTTGGGGGGTTGCTTGCGTCTGGGGTGGGGTTTGGGGGTTTGTAGGTGTACGTTGTGTGTGTGTGTGTGGTGTTGGTGTGTTTGTGTGTGTGTGTGTTGTCTGTTTGTTGTATTGTTGTCTGCCTGGTTTGGGGATGTATGTGTGTACGTGTGTGTGTTGTTGGGAGTTTGTGTGTGTTTGTTTTTGTTTGTCTATCTTTTTGTCTGTCTGTCTGTTTATTTTTTCTCTCTCTCTTTTTCCTTATCTCTCTCTCTCTGTTTCACCATTGCCAAAGAAATATCACGAACTTGTCTTCAATGATGTTTTATTTTATGTCCTTCGTTTTCTTTTTCGCTATTGTTTATTATATCTAAATTTCATTATTCACCTGTTTAATTATCTTTCGCGACCTGCTTATCCCTCCCATTTCTCGCTGATTTCCGTGTCTTTTCCCTTAAATTATATCGACTCCCATCTATCCCAATTGTTTTCACTCTCCTTAAATATTAAGATAAAAGTTTCTCTAATTGAATTATGCTCGATATTTTTTAAGATTAATTGGCCGAAAGAGGTGACGACACCGCTGCCGCCATTTTGCTGGTTAATTACAGGTGATTAAGGGCGGTGAATGTTTTTTTTCAGGGTATCATTTTCACTCTTATTAATTGTTGGTAATTATGCCCGTGTGTCGTCATGAGCTTAGGAAAGGGGCGTGGGGGGGGGGGGTATGGAGGAACATGGGGAGTGGGGGAGGGGAGTCTAGAGGAACAGGGGAGGGGGGAGAAGGGGGAGGGGGGGGAGGGGAGTCCCTAGAGGAAGAGGGGGGCGGGGGGGGGGGGGAGCGTAATTAACACCGCCATCGATAATGATCTGTTTTGAGGATGTTGCGCTATTATGTGAAATTTTTGGCTGGCTGTCTCTTAATCTTCTTTTCTCTTTCTTTTTTTCTTATCCTCCCTTCTTTCTCTTTCTCTCCTCTTTTTTCTCTTTCTCTTTCTCTTCTTCTTCTTCTTCCTCTCTCTCTCTCTCTCTCTCTCTCTCTTCTCTCTCTCTCTCTCTCTCTCTCTCTTCTCTCTCTCTCTCTCTCCTCTCTCTCTCTCTCTCTCTCTCTCTCTAACTCTCTCTAACTCTCTCTAACTCTCTCTAACTCTCTCTCTCTTTATTTCTTTATTCTCTCTCTCACTTAATCTTTCTCCTCCGCCCCCCTCTCTCTCTCCTCTCCCTCCCTCTCCCTCTCTTCTCCCTCCCTGCCTCCCGACCTTCCCCCTCCCCTCCTTTATCAGGAAAATCCCAGGTTCAGTCGATGGTCTTTATGGAGGAGAAGATCTGTCGGGTTTCGAGGCTTCGATCTTTTGTTTCGGAAGGTTTAAGGGGTCATCTCGAGGTGGCTGTGTGGGGAGAGAGATGAGGGAGAGAGGGAGGGGGGAAGGGAAAGGGGAGAAAGGGAGAAGGGGAGAGAAGAGGAAGAGGGAGAGGAGAGAGAGAGAAAGAAGAAGAAGAGAAAGAAAGAAAAGAAAAAGAAGAAATAAGAAGAAAGAAGAGAAGAAAGAGAGAAGAGAGAGAGAAGGGGGAGAGGGAGAGGGAGATAAATAGAGAGAGAGAATTTTAGTGTGACTGCGAATGAGAAAGAAAAGAGAGTGTCCAATCTTCTTTTAAAGGTTCGAAAGAGTGTCTTTAAAGGGGTCTTAAATGTCTTTAAAGGGATCTTAAATGTCTTTAAAGGGGTCTTAGATGTCTTTAAAGGGGTCTTAAAGGGTTAAAGGCAGTGCCAAAGCTCGGCTGTGATTAAACGAAGCGCGAGACGTTGTTGAGATCTGCAAGGAAAAAAAAAAGATGAAGAGATTTTGCCAAAGAGATTGTGGAATTCTGGGATGAGGCTGGATTATGAGGGTTTTTCTTTGTCTTTGATATCTCCTCCCTCCCTCCCTCTTTCTTCTTCTTCTTCTTCTTCTTCTCTTCTTTTGAGGGGGGGGCACGTGTATAAAAAGACATGAAAGGGTAGAGTAAGTTGGTTAAGTGTTACTCAGGGTTTGGTTCTTGAAGAGAATTCTTTGACTTGCGAAGTGTTTTTTTTTCCTTCTTCTTCTTTTCTTTTCTTTTTTTGGCTTAGCAGGGAAAAAATGTGAAAGGATTGTAGATATAGCGTGCATGTCTGAGCGCCTGTGTGTGTGTGTACTGTACACTTAGCGTGAAAGTAAACGACTTTTCATAATATACCTGACTCCTTAACTCATACTTTTATTTTTGTCTTTATTTTTCTTCTTTCTCTCTCTCTCTCTCTCTCTCTCTCTCTCTCTCTCTTCTCTCTCTCTCTCTCTCTCTCTCTCTCTCTCTCTCTCTCTCTCTCTCTCTCTCTCTCTCTCTCTCTCTCTCTTTCTCTCTCTTCTCTCTCTCTCTCTCTCTCTCTCTCTCTCTCTCTCTCTCTCTCTCTCTCTCTCTCTCTCTCTCTCTCTCTCTCTCTCTCTCTCTCTCTCTCTCTTTCAGTCGCTTTTTCACCTGTTCCTTATCTCTCCCCCTTCTTCCCCCATCTCTCTTTATCTATATATCTATATATCCTTCTATATCTATTTACCGATATGTTCAATATATATATTTATCTGCCTATCTCTTTGCATCTCTCTCTCTCTCTCTCTCTCTCTCTCTCTCTCTCTCTCTCTCTCTCTCTCTCTCTCTCTCTTCTCTCTCTCTCTCTCTCTCTCTCTCTCTCTCTCTTGTGCATTCTCCTGGCTTTTGTTTCTCCGCACACATGCACAAGCAGAGGAAGAGAAGTGGAGAGAAAACGGACGCGGACATTACCCTTAAAGCCCATTAGCGCGTGCAATAAACGGGCAAAAAGACCCTTAGCTGCCGGGGCATTATGAGTTCACTGTCCTCTTGGCACCTCCGGGTCAAGAAACGAGTATAGGGATTCGGATTACGTAGCGGTTCGTGATCGTCGCTTTTATTCGAATCAATTAATGTTGTTTTTCGTTTTATTCGAATCAATTAAAGTTGTTTTTTTCGTTTTATTTTAATGAATTGGCTTTTTTCCGTGTTTTTTTTTATTCGAATCAATTAAATTTTTTTTTTCGTTGTTTTTCGTTTTATTCGATCAATTAATTCGTTTTATTCGAATCAATTAACGTTTTTTTTCGTTTATTCGTCGTTTTATTCGAATCAATTAACTTTTTTTTTATTCGTTTTTTTCGTTTTATTCGAATCAATTAACTTTTTTTTTTCGTTTTATTCGAATCAATTAACGTTGTTTTTTTCTTCGAACAATTAACTTTTTGTTTTATTCGAATCAATTAACGTTTTTTTTCGTTTTATTCGAATCAGTTAACTTTTTTTTTCGTTTTATTCGACTCAATTAACCCTTTTTTTGTTTTATTGCGAATAAATTAACGTTGTTTTTTCGTTTTATTCGAATCAATTAACGTTGTTTTTTCGTTTATTCTAATTAACTTTTTTTCGTTTTATTCGAATCATTTAACCTTTTTTTCGTTTTATTCGACACAATTAACCCATTTTTCGTTTTATTGGAATCAATTAACGTTGTTTTTCGTTTTATTCGATTCAATTAACGTTGTTTTTTCATTTTATTCGAATCAACCTTTTTTTCGTTTTATTCGAATCAATTATCCTTTTTTTCCTCTTTGTCGCTTACGTTNGAGAAGAGGGAGAGAGAGAGAGAGAGAAGAGAAGAGAGAGAGAGGAGAGAGCAGAGCAGGACAGAGAGAGACGATCGAGAGAGAGAGAAGATGAGGGAGAGAGGGAGGGGAGGGCCAGGAGGGGGATTAGACGAAGAGAGTGAGAGAAGTAAGAGAGACGAGAAGAGAGAGAGAGAGAGAGAGAGACGAGAGAGAGAGAAGAGAGACAAAGAGAGAGAGAGGAAAGGAGAGAAGAGAGAGAAGGGTAGTTGAGAAGAGAGAGAGATAGAGAGAGAGCAGAAACGATGAGAGAAGAAGAGAGAGAGAGAGAGAGCAGAGAGAGAGAGAGCAGAAAAAACGTCTTAGAAAGAGAGCGAGGAGAGAGACAGAGAGAGAGGGGGTGGATAGAGAGCAGGGGGGGGGACAGGGTGATAGAAGAGAGAGAAGGGGAGAGGAGAGAAGAGAGAGAAGAGAGAGACGAAGAGAGAGAGAGAGATGAGGAGAGAATTAGAAGAAAGATTGAGACGGAGAGAGAAGATCAGAAAGATAGATTCACGAGTGGGAAAGCCTAGTCGGGATGCGGCCGAACGAGTTGGGAAATGCCGACGTCCGAGAGCGGGCGACGAGTGAGAAAGACCGACGTTGAGAGCGGCGACGAGTGGGAAAGGCCGACGTCGAGAGCGGCCACGAGTGGGGAAAGGCCGACGTCGAGAGCGGCGACGTGGAAAGGTCCGAGAGCGGCGAACGGAGTGGGAAAGGCCGACGTCGGAGCGGCGACGAGGGGAAGGCCGACGTCGGCAGAGCGCGAGTGGGCCAGCCAGAGAGCGGCGACGAGGGAAAGGCCGACGTCGAGACCGGCGACGAGTTGGAAAGGCGACGTCGAGAGCGGCGACGAGTGGGAAAGGCCGACGTCGAGCGGCGACGAGTGGAAAGGCCGACGTCGAGTGGAAGAGCGAGAGCCACGAGGGAAAGGGCCCCGACGTGCGAGAGCGAACGACTGGGAAAGGCCGAACGTCGAAAGCGGCGACGAGTGGGAAGGCCGACGTCGAGCGGCGACGAGTGGGAAAGGCCGACGTCGAGCGCGACGAGAAAGGCGACGTCGAGAGCGGCGACGAGTGGGAAAGGCCGACGTCAAGAGCGGCCACGAGTGGGAAAGGCCGACGTGAGAAGCGGCCACGAGTGGGAAAGGCCGACGTCGAGAGCGGCGACGAGTGGGAAAGGCCGACGTCGAGAGCGGCGACGAGTGGGAAAGGCCAACGACGTTGACGAGAGCGGGCGACGAGTGGGAAAGGCCGACGTCGAGAGCGGCGACGAGTGGGAAACGAGTCGAGAGCGGCGAAAGGCCGACGTCGAGAGCGGCCACGAGTGGGAAAGGCCGACGTCGAGAGCGGCGACGAGTGGGAAAGGCCGACGTCGAGAGCGGCACGAGTGGAAAGGCCGACGTCGAAGCGGCACGAGTGGGAAAGGCGACGTCGAGAGCGGCCACGAGTGGGAAAGGCCGTACGTCGAGAGCGGCCACGAGTGGGAAAGGCCGACGTCGGAGCGGCGACGTGGAAAAACGAGCTGGGAAAGAGCGACGTCACGAGGGCGGCCACGAGTGGGAAAGGCCGACGTCGAGAGCGGCGACGAGTGGGAAAGGGCCGACGTCGAGAGCGGCACGAGTGGAAGGCCGACGTCGAGAGCGGCGACGAGTGGGAAAGGCCGGACGTCGAGAGCGGCGAAGGGAAAGGCCGACGTCGAGAGCGGCGACGGGAACGACGTGGGACGAAGAAGGCGACGTCGAGAGCGGCACGAGTGGGAAGGCCGACGTCGAGAGCGGCACGAGTGGTGCGAGAAGCCGACGTGGGAAAGGCGACGTCGAGAGCGGCCACGAGTGGGAAAAGGCCGACGTCGAAGAGCGGCCGACGAGAGTGGGAAAGGCCGACGTCGAGAGCGGCGACGAGAAGCCGACGTCGAGAGCGGCGACGAGTGGGAAAGGCCGACGTCGAGAGCGGCGACGAGTGGGAAAGACGGCGAGAGCGGCGACGACGTGGGAAAGGCCGACGTCGAGGCGCGACGAGTGGGAAACGACGTCGAGAGCGGCGACGAGTGGGAAAGGCCGACGTCGAGAGCGGCGACGAGTGGGAAAACGAGGGCCGACGTCGAGAGCGGCGACGAGTGGGAAAGGCCGAGTGGCGACGATGTGAGAAGACGTGAGAGCGGCGACGAGTGGGAAAGGCCGACGTCGAGAGCGGCGACGAGTGGGAAAGGCCGACGTCGAGAAGCGGCGCGACGAGTGGGGAAAGGCGACGTCGAGAGCGGCGACGAGTGGGAAGGCCGACGTCGAGAGCGGCGACGAGTGGGAAAGCGGACGAGTGGGAAAGCTGACGTCAGAGCGGCGACGAGTGGGAAAGGCCGACGTCAGGGAAGCGCGACGAGTGGGAAAGGGCCGACGTGGAGAGCGGCACGAGTGGATCAAAGGCCGGACCGTCCGAGACGGGCGACGAGTGGAAAAGGCCGACGTCGAGAGCGGCGTGACGAGTGGGAAAGGCCGACCGTCGCAGAGCGGCCGCACGAGTGGAAGGTTACGCGAGAGCGGCACGATATTAATGCGACGTCACGGGATCGGCGACGAGGGGAAAGGCCGACGTCTGAGAGCGGCGCGAGTGGGAAGGCCGACGTCGAAGAGCGGGCCACGGAGTGGGAAAGCCGATGTCCGAGACGGCGGCGACGAGTGGGGAAAGCCGGAGCGAGCTGGGAAGGCTGACATCGAGAGCGGCGACGAGTGGAAAGGCCGACGTCCAGGAGCGGCGACGGTTGTAAAGGCCGACGTGGAGAGCGGCTCGAGTCGAGTGTGAAAGGTCCGACTCGTCCGAGAGCGGCGACGAGTGGAAAGGCCGACGAAATGAACAAGGCCGACGCGTCGAGAGCGGCGGACGAGTGAGAAAAGGCCGACGTCGAGAGAGCGGCGACGAGTGGGAAGGCCGACGTCGAGAGCGGGGACGGTGGGAAAAGCCGACGTCCAGAGCGGCCGACTAGTGGGAAAGCCGGACGTCGAGAGCGGCGACGAGTGGAAAGGCCGCACGTCGAGAGCGGCGACGAGTGGAAAGGCCGACGAGTGGGGAAAGGCTGACATGCCTGTCGAGCGACGACGAGTGGGCGAAAGGCCGACCGTCAGGAAGCGGCGGAACGAGTGTGAAAGCCGACGGTGGAGAGCGGCGGAGAGTGGGAACAGGCCGACGTCGAGAGCTGGCGACGACTGGGAAAGGCCGACTCGAGGAGCCGGCCGGGCAGTGGAAAGGCCGACCGAGGGAAACAGCCCGACGTCAGAGCAGCGCGACGAGAGCTGGGAAAGGCCGACGTCAGGAGCGGCGACGAGTGTGAAAGCCGACGTGGAGAAGCGGCGACTGAGTGGGAAAGGCCGAAGCGTCGAGAGCCGGCGACGTGGGAAAGCGACCGTCGAGATACGATTGTTATAAGGCCGACGTCGAGATCTATATATGTGGAAGAGTGCGATCTCGTGGAGAGCGGCGCGCGATTCGGAGAAAGGGCCGACGATGTGGGAAAGGCTGACAATCGAGAGCGCGACGATGTGGAAAGGCCGACGTCAGCGACTGGCGACGAGTGTGAAAAGGCCGTACGGGAGCGGGCCACGAGTGGGAAGGGCCCGACCGTTTCGAGAGTCTGGCGACGAGGGGGGAAGGGCCGACGTCCTGAGAGCGGCGGACTCGAGTGGGAACAGGCCGACGGTCGAGAAGCCGGCGACGACGTGGGATAGGGCCGACGTCCGAGAGAACGCGCGACGAATGGAAAGGCTGACGTAGTGGAGCGGCGACGAGTGGGAAAGTTCGACGTCGAGAGCGGGCCGACGAGTGGGAAAGGCCGACGTCGAGAGCGGCCACGAGTGAAAGGCCGATGTTCGAGAGCGCGAACGAGTGGGAAAGGCCGAACGAATTGGAAAGGCCGACGTCGAGACGGCCACGAGAGTGGAAAGGCCGACGTCGAGAGCGGCCCACGACGTGGGAAAAGCCGACGTCGAGAGCCCACGAGTGGGAAAGCCGACGTCGAGAGCCGGCCCACCGATGGGAAAGGCCGACGTCATAGCTACGAGTGGGAAAGGCCGACGAGTGGGAAGGCCGACGTCGAGAGCGGCGACGAGTGGGAAAGCCGACGATCAGAACGGCGACGAGTGGGCAAGGGGCCGACGTTGAGAGCGGCGACGAGTGGGAAAGGCCGACGTTGAGAGCGGCGACAGAGTGGGAAAGGCCGACGTTGAGAGCGGCGACGAGTGAGAAAGACCGACGTTGAGAGCGGCCACGAGTGGGGAAAAAAGCCGATTCGAGAGCGGCGACGAGTGGGAAAGGCTGACGTCGGGAGCGGCGACGAGTGGGAAAGGCCGACGTCGAGAGGAAATGCCGACCGTCGAGAGCCGACGACGAGTGAGAAAGGCCGACGTGCGCAGAGCGGCGACGAGTGGGAAAGGCCGACGTCGAAGCGGGCCACTGAGATGGGAAAAGGCGACGTCAGAAGAGCCCGGCGACCAGTGGAAAGGCGCTCGACGTTGAGAGCGGCCACGAGTGGGAAAAGCGCGCGGACGTGGAGAGCGGCACGGAGTTGGGAAAGGCCGACGTCGAGAAGCGCGCGACGAGTGCGAAAGGCCGACGTTGAGGAGCGCGACGGAGTGGGAACAGGTCTGAGTCCGTCCGAGAGCGGCGGACGAGTGGGAAGGCCGACGTGGAGAGCCGGTGACGAGTGGGCAAAGGCCGACGTCGAGGCGGCCCACGAGAGGAAAGGCCGACCGAGAAGCGGGCGACCGAGTGGGAAAAGGCTGACGTGCAGAGAGCGGCGCACGAGTTGGGAAAAGGCCCGACGTCCAGAGAGCGGCACGAGGGATAAGGCCGACGTCGAGCTGGCCACGAGTGGAAAGCCCGACGTCGAGAGCCGGCGCGAGTGGGAAGGCCCGACGTCGAGAGCGGCGACGAGGAAAGGCCGACGAGTTGGAAAGGACCGACGTTGAGAGCGGCGACGAGTGGGAAAGGCCGACGGGGAGAGCGGCCACGAGTTGGGAAAGGCCGACCGGGGGAGAGCGGCACGAGTTTGGGAAAAGGCCGACTTGGAGAGCGGTCCACGAGTTGGGAAGGCCGACGTCCGAGAGCGGCGACGAGTGGGAAAGGCCGAGAGTGGGAAAAAGCCGACGTCGAGTAGCGGCGACGAGTGGGAAAGGCCGACAGTGGAGACGGCCACCGAGTGGAAAGGCCGACGGAGAGAAGCCGGCCCTCCCGAGTGGGAAAGGCCATGACGATCTGACTCTTACACGTACTGCGTGAGAGCGGCCCACGGAGTGGGAAAGCGGCCGACGTCCCGCCTGAGAGCCCCGGCCATACGAGTGGAAAGGCCCCCGGACGGGAGACGGCCGGACGAGTGGGGGAAAGGCGACCGTCGAGAGCGGGGACCGAGTGGCGACAAGGGCCCGGACGTGGAGAGCGGGGACCCGGTTGCACCCCTCCTCACTTTATATCACGCCTCCGCATACTCGCTCCCCGAATACTCTCGTGGCTTCACGAACATGGCGGCAAGGGCGACTTTTTGCTCATCCGAAGAAGAAGCAGGAAGTGGCGACCTTCTTCTACGGCCTGAACGTTCCGGCGGGGGCCCAAACCCCCTCCTTCTTCATCTGGACGCCCGCGCTGTACTCCTATACCTCCTCTCCCTTCCTCCTGCCCTGCGCATCCCTTCCTGCTGGCTCTCCCCTTCTCTGCTGGTTCTCTGCCTCCGCTGCTCGCTCTGCACTTCCCCTCCATCTCCCCCT